CAGAAGCATGTCGCGATGTGAATCTCCCCATCCAATTCTTACTCGATGACACACATTTCGTGTGTTTTATGTGAGCAGTTCTGTTCGAACAGTTGGAGTAGAGAATATTGTAAGTTACTGCTAGCAAAACAATGCGAAATATGTAATTATTTTCGGTAATCCGGACACTTTTGGTAATCTGACACACCTTTGGTCCCATACCTGTCGGATTATCAAGGGACAACTGTAATTTGAAATTATGTTTAAGTCAGATCTTTATATGAACTAAACACTTCATGCATTTTTACTTTCTGGCTGTTATATATAACAGAGGGAAAATATGGCAATTGGTCAAAAAATGATCCTTTGAGATTTTTACATTTATGCATTCAGGACATTGAAACATTGAAAAATGCAAAAAGTTTGAGATTTTTTCTGTATGTATGGATGTTATGGATTTTGTTCGCCCTCGTTGAAGCTTAATAATTCCTATGCTTTTTGTCGAAAATTTATGAAATTTTGCAGGGAGGTTTGTTTTAGGTGGATTTATGCTATTAAATTTTGGTGATTGAAGGTCGCAGGAGTTGGGAGATAGAGATGTGTATCTCCAGTAGAGTCAGATTTAATAACAATTTTACTCATTACTAGTATTTACAATTTTTTATAAAACTCATCCCTACCCTCAAAATTAAGCTTTTTGCCATTTTATAATAGTTAAAAAAAAAATATATATATATAAGTTTTTAAATAAAATATGATAACAGATGGCACCACCAAATGTTGCCAGAGAAGTTAAACAACTTGTTGCTAGATTTTTGATATGGAACAGATAGCATAATTAAGAAACGATTCATCTTCCTTTCCTGATAAAGTGATATGTTTTTGATTTCTTTGAAATATTCATGATTTATCCTGAAATTAAAAATAAATATTTATATATAACTTACATATATTTACCGTATTTACTCGCATATAAGACGATCTCGCATACAGGACAAGGTGTGACTTTAACTAATAACGAGGTAATGATAAGAAAATAAAGCTTTCTTTTTCATTATGATTTATTTATCTTCAATTATCTTATATAAGTAGGTAACAAAATTATTCATCACACACAGAAATGTAACTTGGTTATTTTTGAACAACATTTAACCAATTCAATGTTGAAATTTTTATTTGTTGCCTGTGACGCCATGTTGAATTTTCATCGATGTTAAGCCTAAAAATTTTTTTTTAAAATAATAATCATGTTTACTGTATCGTAAAAAATTATTTTTTTATGTTTCACAAACAAAATATATATATTGAATATATAAAAACGAAATAAATTTTATTTTAAAAGTTCGTTTTAATGTAAAAATTGTGACGCGAAGTGACATCTAGTATCAAAAACATTCCAATGTAAACACGGAAATATTCTGTTCTATTCTATTCAGATAAAAGACAAGAGGGGCTATCTGCGATTTAGTGCAGACTTTACCCCTATAAAGGAAGATAGGAAAGTGTGAAATAAGCAACCATAAGCCCCCCACAGGACTCCATGGGCACCCACAACACCTTTATTAAAACAATACTTACAGAGTAATACAAATAATTAACAGTAACATTTTTACATACAGATGCAATTAACAGAAGGATGCATATCTTTTGCATCAAAGTATATACAAACATATTAATCGATAGATAAATAAATGATAAATAAACAAAATGGATAAACACAGTTTTGGTTACATTAGTAAACAGTAAATTTTTGCTTACATAATAGGAATTCGAATGGTTGGTTGAATAATTTTATACATATTTACAGTTTTAACAATTTAGAAAAGGATGCAATACTTATTACATTAATGAAAATTAAATATACAACAGGTATAATTTTAAAGTTATACATTTAGTAATCAGTTGACAAGGAATTTTTGATGTAATCTTACAGATCGAATTCCATAAAGTTTTAACAAGAAATTTTGACAAGATAACTTATAACTTAATAATTACACTATGTTATTCGTAGCACAGTTAAATTTATATTCAATTCACTACATATAACAGTCTTTATTTTTAACATTTTTCTTTAATCTTCATTGCTTGTGAAGGAGGAGTAGTTATTGTCATCATCACTAACACTAGTTTCTGTTGTATCTGTGTTGAGTATATTTAAATTCAGGTCACCAAACTGAGGTACTAATGCACCACTGCCCTGTATAAACTTCTCAAATGCTTTAAAAAGTTTGTTATTCATTATAAGTTAGTTCTGTTTTGGTGGCCATTTTTTCCCTTCTGTGATACATATTCTGTCAAAATTTTCTCTGAGGGTTGTATATTTGGTGCATTCGAAGAGGAAGTGATAAACGGTATCTTCGTTGTTCGTGTGTGCGTCACAATGGTTGTAGTCTCTCTTCTTGAAACGGTGCAAATATGAGTTAAAACATCCATGCCCTGTCAGGCATTGTGTTGTTTGGAACGATGGTTTGAATATCGTGTTTTTTTTTTTGTCTGTCTTCGATGGATGGGAAGAATTTGAAGCACAACCTTCCAGTGGGTGATTCTTCCCACTCTGTTTGCCATAAAGCACAAATTTGTTGGTTGATGTACTTTGTTATTGAGCTGATAGGAAGCCGCGAGTACGTTATTTTAGTATGTGCAATTGAGGCTTTTTTTGCTAATTTATCAGCTAACTCATTTCCCGCATGGCCAACGTGACCGGGTATCCAATCGAAGGAGATTTTTAGTTGTTTTCCTAATTTTGTTGCCAAATTTATGAGTTCTTTAGCTAGGGCTGATTTGTTATTTTCTCTTCTTAGTATATGTAGAGCAGCTCTACTATCGGTAAAGACAAGTAGTTTTTTATAGGTTATGTGAGAGAGCTGACTGATGTAAGTGAGGGCTTTAAATATACTCCATAATTCTGCTTGAATAATTGAGCAATGATCTGCAAGCTTGAACGCTGCCTGGTATAAAGTTCTTCCTTCACTGTTCTTGACTACCACACCTGATCCTACACCATTTTCTCCCTTTGACCCATCAGTAAAGGCTATCAATTGTTTCTTTTTATTATTTGCTGTTGATTCTTTGAAGTCTAAGGAAATTTCATATGGGTGAGTTGCTTTTGGGTCAGTCATAAAATTAAATTCATTTGGTATATTGTCGATATTGTTGTGGACAATGTGTGACTTAAAGTTCATATTTTTCAGTGGTTTCCCTTTGTTTTGAAGTGTTGAGATTTCCATTTCAGAACTACTAGAAAAGTTTTTATTCATTAGGAACCACTTCCAAATTCTTCTATTTGCCTCCAAATGAATAGGTGTCAAGTTGGCCATCACAAGAAGCGTGTTTGTTGGAGCTGTGCAGTAAGATTTACAAATACGGATGGCTGATTTTCTTTGTACAGATAAAAGTTTTCTTTTCAGATGTGTATTATTTAAGGCTTCTCTCCAAATCTGTACACCGTATAGAAGTGCTAGTTCAAGGGCTTGTTTGTATATCATCTTTGTATTAGTTGAGTCTAGGTCCCATGTGTTTCTAGTAATACTGATCAGTTGATTAGTCTTTTCAATAATTTTGTTGTAAATATGATTAACGTGGTATTGTCAGTTGAGGGCTGTATCAAAGTAAACTCCCAAGTATCTGATTTGAGGTACGTTTTTTATACTATGTCCATTGATTTTTACGCTGATTGATCTCTTAAGTTGACCTCTTTTGTTTTTCCTTGTATTGACCAGTGCTTCGCACTTATTATAATTGATCGTTAATTTATGTTTGTTGCACCAGTTTCCTATTTCTGTAAGGGCTTTGTTGGCTATATCAGCGACTCTATCACAGTTTTGGTGAGCAATCATTAATAAAGTGTCGTCGGCGTAGGCTTGTACACAAAGTTCATCTGTGTTGTTAAATTGATCCAAAAGTTCGTCTAGTACTAAATTCCACAGTCCGGGTTCACATCTGGACCCCTGTGGACAGCCCTTTGAGATTTTTATTTCCACATTGGTGTTTGTCATGTAAAAGCCGGCTGTTCTATTTTGGAGATAGCTTCTCATTAATTTGATCAGATTATTCGGGCATTTTGTATCAATAAGACGATTTATGATGCTGGGCCACCATAGATTATCAAATGCCTTTTTGAAGTCGATGCTTATTAGCATCGCATGCTTTCCTTTCTCCCATGCTCTGTGTATAAAATCTTTAACATTGAGAATTGCGTGGATTGTGGATGTACCAGGTTTAAATCCAAATTGGTTAATATTACTTCTGTTGGATACTTTTAAATGCCAATTTATTCTTTTAATTAATAAGCCATCCAAGATTTTCCCTAATACTGGTAATAGACTTATAGGTCTAAAGTCGCCTGGATTGGTAGCATTATCTTTTTTGGGAATTAATTTTATATTTGCTTTTTTCCAAACATGGGAGAAGTATCCTATTTTAAGACATAAATTATACAAATACACAAAGGCTATGGGAATTACCTCAAAGGCAGCTTTAATCATCTCTGCCGTGATGTTGTCCAATCCGGGAGATTCATTTTTCGCTAGTGAATTGATGGCCTTTTATATCTCTAAAAAGGTGAATGGGTTGTCTTCTTCTTGTGATGATGTATTTTGGATTGAGCTTTTTAATTCTTTGTGTATTTCTAGGTCTAAAGTGTCGTTGTCATTAAGAAAATGATGATGATGAATATTTTGGATGTTTTCTGCAATGTCCAAGTTTGGTTCATTCTCATTCCATTTGACAATATTTGGAATGTGACATTTTTTTTTTCTTGTTAAAGACAACTCGGTATGGTATATCCCATGGGTTTTTCTTCAATTCTCGCCATGCGTTGGTGCGAGAATATTTGATGCACTTTTTGTATGTTTTTAGAGCCTTTCTGTATTTCTCTTTAAGTGTGTTCTTCTTATCTTCATTGGTAGTTTTGGCTAATTTCTTTAGAAATTTTCTGACTTTTTTTTGTTGAGTAGATAAGCTATCTATCCACCATACTGTGTCCCTTTGTTTAGTTTTAGTGATTGTAGTTGATAATCGTTTTGCTTCTTGTATTGCCTTCGTGATATGATCGGTGTATTGATTGATACTTTCCTCGTCCTCAATTTCGTTGAATCTGTAGTTTCTCCAGTTTATTGCAAATATTTCTTTGTAAAGTTCCCAGTTAGTATATTTCTTATAGTAATTGATGTAATTTTCTTTGTTGGTTATACCTGAAAGTTCAGCATAAATGTACCTATGATCACTTAGAGATTCCCACAGAAGTGTTTCACAAGTCATAACATTGCCTTTATTAACTGGAACAAGAAAGACGTCAGTCCAACCTTCTGCATAGACGGTATAAAAGGTAGGATCATCAGTAGTGTTTGCTGAGTATAGGTTATATCTGTCCATTAAATCAATTAACAGGCGTCCTCTATGGTCTTCTTTATAATGATACCAAATTGGAGATTTCGCATTTGTTTCTCCCACTAGAATGAAGTTGTCGCTATTAAGGCTTTTGATTATATATTGTAGTTCTTCAATACAATTATTATCATCATCATCAGGGGAAAAATATATACTAAGAATATAAAGTTGTGGCTGTTGTTGGATGGCAATAGTAGTTATTCTCTGTGTAATTAAATCTGGAATTAAAGCAGCATCTAGGTTGTTGTCTCTCACTATTATACCACTTTTTGGTTTTTCTCCGTTTCTTGTAGTTAATATTCTCCATCCTCCGAAGCTTACTATTTTATTGTTCAAAGTATAAGGTTCTTGTATTATTAATAGGTTTATATCTAGGTCATTGGCCGTCTTTAATGCGAGTGAACTTGCCACTTTACTGCGTTGCATATTTATCTGTAAAATACGCAGATGTGAAGAGTTTACATCGTAATTACTATTGATTGACAGAGTTGAATTATCAGAAGCATTGTCGTTACTATTTTGTTTATTTCCTTGCATAATAGTGCCTTTGGGTGACCGAGTGATTATTTGTTTGTTTCTATATTCCATAATCAATTGCTTGGGCCGATGCTGCTTTTGCCACCAGTAACCAAGGGAGACTGTGGCCTATTTTTCGAATGTGAGCCTCTGCCTAACCCACGAACGCAGACCTTGTTAACTTGGGCGACATCTGAGCCGGTATCATACTTAGATCTGGTTACTACCATGATAAATATCTCCACAGAATGTGGGTGTGTGGTCACTCTTAGCTTCATTTCTCCCCATAGACCTTACTGGCATGTGTGTCCCTGCCAGGAGCTTGTGCTCCAGCCTGCATTGCTCTATGGTTCAGTAAAATTACTGGGCTCTCCCACCATGACCAGGTGGTGACCACGGGAGAGTTGTTATTATTATTATTAGATGAATAAATCAAATTACATTAAAGTTTGTGCAGTAAGTTAATCAGATCAAACATCAAGAATTATTATCATATGAAATACAGTGAGTGATCGGTTAACGAACAATTGGGATGGTGAATAAATAGGACAACAAACACTTTTGCTAAAGTTTTTTGTGTTCGGACAACAAACACAAGAAGAAGCAATGCTGCATTTAACATTTGTAAAACTATATTTTAATGGCATCTATACATGGTTTATGCAGGGATGCACAGCCTTTTCTGAAGAAGGGCCATGTTAGGATTAAGTTTACTGACCAGGGGGCTGGACCGTTTTACAACCCTTTTCGTTGACACAAGGACTCTAATTACTTTAACTGCACTAGTGTTGACAATCATGGGAAGTTTATAGCTTGACATGGTTTAAAATAATCATTACATCCAAAACTTTTTAGTCATATGACTCTATTCCAACTATTAATTTTCTTGGTCCAATGTAATAATTAAAAATTTTTTTAAATTTTAAGTCTCTGGAGAGACATTGTTGTAAATAATTGATGGTTATAGCTTTTGTACATTCCTTTTTGAACTCTGATTGGTTTTTTCTAGTTTGATTGACATTAAGTTGACAAATAGGTGTCTTTTCAGAAAAGATTGATTCAAATTTCCCAGGAAGTACCACACCTTTTTTTTTTTTTTTTAAGCTCTTTTTCCCTGTGGGCACTAAGAGGCCTCTTTAAGCAAGCCCATTACAGGTTTGGCCAGGTCCACAATGGGGTAGCCAGGTGATGAGGGACGGTGCCTGACATATCCCCGAAAAATTTTTGGGAAATTTTCAACCCAATCAGATTTGATCTCTGGTCCCCAGAGCGGTAGGTTTCCACCTTGATTGCTCGGCCTTCCGGCCACAGTACCACACCCTCTTCAACTATACCAATCAGAATCTAGAATGTAAAGAAATGCTAAAAAATTGTTATTTTCATGGTTTTTTCAATGTTATTTGATGATATTTAGACAAATAAGCAAGTTTTCTAAAGCATAAAATTTAAAATGTTCTGCCAAAATAGAAACTTCCTGATAACACTGAAAATGACATTCTAACATCATTTATTCTATTTGATTCTTCTAAAAATTATTATAATATTATGTATTAGACTTAAAATATTCGATATCTAAACCAGAAAGTGTATTAGCTAGAAATAGACAAACTTCAATCGCTCCCATTTTTCACCTTGGAAAGTCATAAAACTGTTGGGTGCTAATGACTTTGTGAAAGGGAAAGAGTTCTATATTTGAAACTTTGAACTTGTTTGGGAGAGGAAAAACTTATCTAGCTAACAGATAAAAAGAAATCGGTTCAATTTGATACAATTTTTTTTTTTTTTTTTTTTTTTCTAGTACATAGCAAAGTGAGTTTTGTGGAAAAAATTATACAGCTAAACATTTCANTGGTCATATACGTCATTCATCTTATGACGTAAATCGTCCGCATAGTCAGTCATGCTACGTAGATTATCAGGCGGGGTACCGGTAATTAAATCTGCGGGTAATCGTTGTTTTCTTCCAAAGTTTGCAAAGGCTGGCGTCACAGACGTACTTTCATGGACCACGCTTCGGTATGCAAACAAAAATTGTTGAATGTGTTTGTCCCAGTCTCGTTGCCGAGTCTCTATGACTTTTACCAGGTACTTTTCCAACGTCTGATTAAATCGTTCCACGTCGGATCCAACGTCTGATTAAATCGTTCCACATAAATCCCGTCGGATTGTGGATGATACGAGGTGGTTCTGGTTTTGTGGGTACCCATCACACGGCATTCTATTCTATTCTATTCTAATAAAAAACAGGAGGGGCTATCTGCGATTTAGTGCAGACTTTACCCCTGTATGGATAGGAAGGAACAGTAAAAGAAAGTAAGAGTTAGAGAGAAGAGGAAATAAAGGAAGATAGGAAAGTGTGAAATAAGCAACCATAAAGCCCCCACACGACCCCATGGGCGCCCGCATCGCCTTTATTAAAACAATATTTACAGAGGAATACAAATAATTAACAGTAACATTTCTACATACAGATGCAATTAACAGAAGGATGCATATCTTTTGCATCAAAGTATATACAAACATATTAATGGATAAATAAATAATAATTGAACACAATGGATAAATACAGTTTTGGTTACATTATTAAACAGTAAATTTTTGCTTACATAATAGGAATTCGAATGGTTGGTTGAATAATTTTATACATATTTACAGTTATAACAGTTTAGAATGGGATGCAATACTTATTACATTAATGAAATATTAAATATACAACAGGTATAATTTTAAAGTAATACATTTAGTAATCAGTTGACAAAGAATTTTTGATGTAATCATACAGATCGAAATCCATAAAGTTTTAACAAGAAATTTTTACAAGATAACTTATAACTTAATAATCACACTATGTTATTCGTAGCACAATTGAATTTATATACATATAACAGTCTTTATTTTTAACATTTTTCTTTAATCTTCATCGCTTGTGAAGGAATTGTAGTTATTGTCGTCATCACTGTCATTAGTTTCTGTTGTATCTGTGTTGAGTATATTTAAATTCAGATCACCAAACTGAGGTACTAATGCACCACTGTCCTGTATAAACTTCTCAAATGCTTTAAAAAGTTTGTTATTCATTATAAGTTCGTTCTCTTTTGGCGGCCAGTTTTTCCCTTCTGTGATATATATTCTTTTGAAATTTTCTCTGAGGGTTGTGTATTTGGTGCATTCGAAGAGGAAGTGATGAACGGTATCTTCGTTGTTCGTGTCTGCGTCGCAATGGTTGTAGTCTCTCTTCTTGAAACGGTACAAGTATGAGTTGAAACATCCATGCCCTGTCAGGCATTGTGTTGTTTGGAACGATGGTTTGAATATTCTGTTTTTCTGTCTGTCCTCGATGGATGGGAAGAATTTGAAGCACAATCTTCCAGTGGGTGATTCTTCCCACTCTGTTTGCCATAAAGCACAAATTTGTTGGTTGATGTACTTAGTTATTGAGCTGATAGGAAGCCGCCAGTATGTTATTTTAGTTTGTGCAATTGAGGCTTTTTTCGCCAATTTATCAGCTAACTTGTTTCTCGCATGGCCAGCGTGACCGGGTATCCAATTGAAGGAGATTTTTAGTTGTTTTCCTAATTTTGTTGCCAAATTTATGAGTTCTTTAGCTAGGGCTGATTTGTTATTTTCTCTTCTTAGTATATGTAGAGCAGCTCTACTATCGGTAAAGACAAGTAGTTCTTTATAGGTTATGTGAGAGAGCTGACTGATGTAAGTGAGGGCTTTAAATATACCCCATAATTCTGCTTGAGTAATTGAGCATCACACGACATGTCTCCCGAAATATTTGAGTCTCGAAATTCCTGCCTTGATCACTGTGAATTTATAAGGGTACTCCAAATCGACAGAATACTTCGTGGACTAATTTATCAGCCACAGTTACAGCTTCTTGGTTGGGAATGGCGAAAACCTCTGGCCATTTAGTAAAGTAGCCCATGACAACCATGAAGTACCGGTTTCTATTTTCACTTTCAGGAAACGGTCCTGCAACATCTAACGCTATTCCTTCCCATGGGGCTCCAACATTGTACATCCTTACCGCATCTCTACTGCGAGTTTGAGGTCCCTTGATGGCCGTGCAACTGGTACATCTGCGACACCATTCTTCCACATCATCACGAGAGTAGATCCAATAAAATCTCTCGCGGATTTTCTGTAAGGTACTCTTCACCCCCATATGGCCTCCAGAGCAGCCGTTGTGGTACAGTTTTAGGACTTCTGGAACTTTTCCTTTGGGAACAACCATTTGCAGATGGTAGCTGTTCCCTCGGGTATTTTCCCACTTACGGCACAATATCCCATCCTGTATGGTCAAGCTGTCCCATTGGGCCCAATAGCTCTTTGTAATTGGACTCATAGCTGCAACATCGCTCCAGTTGGGCCTAGGAGCATCAGCCTTCAACCACTCAAGGATCGGCTTAATGTGCGCGTCCTTTTCCTGAGCCTGTTGTAAGGTTTCCTTCCACTTGTTACTGATATCCATTTTCAGCATTTGCATAAGAATAATTTCTTTAGTCTCTTGTCTGACAGTGCATACAGTTATCCGCACAAGGCCTTCTCGACAAGGCATCAGCATTACCATGCCTTTTCCCTTTACGATGTTCAATCACGAAGTTGTACTCCTGTAGCAGCTCTATCCACCTTGCTACTTGTCCTTCTGGATTCTTAAAATGCAAAAGCCACTTCAACACGGCATGGTCTGTACACAAGCGGAATCTTTGTCCAAGCAAATAGTTGCTAAAATGTTGCAAGGTTTTAACTACGGCAACTAATTCCCTTCTTGTCACACAGTAATTATTTTCCGGTTTGGATAAGACTTTGCTGAAGTAGGCTATAACCAATTCTTGATTTCCTTTTCGTTGAAACAAAACCCTGCCGATCCTCGTGTTACTCGCATCTGTGTCAACTACAAAGTCATTTCCAGTGTCGGGGGTAGCCCAAAATTGGCGTGTTGCACAGATGCTCCTTTAATTCCTGGAATGCAATATCACAACCCTCATCCCAGCAGAATCGTGTCTTCTCTT